TAAATAAATTGCGTACCAAAATCGATGTCACTTGCTTAACCTTTTCTCCTTATTCTACAGTTTACCATATTGGCATCATCTGTGATATCGATCACACTCAAGTACATGCTGAATTGCATCGAAGTACTGAGCGAAGCGCCATGGGAACGCAAGTCCATGTTTATCTTCTACGTGGAGCTATGTATAGGTATGACACAAGTTGGTACACAGAACAGAACCCACACGAGTAGGCTTCAGCTGCTGTGTTGGTGCTGACAGTTCGAGCTGTGGCTGACATACACAGCTTCAGAAAACAATTTGCCTTCTCAGGCCTGGTGTTAGTGCTACCGTGGTATCCATCAGTACTCTCGTAGAGCAGAATAATGTAGCAGAACAATGTATGATATATTAGAATATAGTTGGTACGGACAGCACGCTATGCACTTGGTTGTTTTCTTGATAGGTAGGACGACAGCCGGGGTTGATATATTACAGTATTTAGGGTCTTAGTTAGCAATCATTGTTGGCAAAACGCACTCCCTCAATTACTATGCACACTAATATCTGCAGATTTCATCAGAATTATATTCTACTGCTGCTTCTTCGGTATTGTGATGAACTACTACGGACTACCGTTGCACATCATTCGCGATCTTTACATGACGCTAAGGTCGTTCGTGCAGCGTGTACGTGATATGGTACAGTACCACCAGGCCACGTCCAACATGAACGAAAGGTAAGTGTACGCTGTAGCTGACTATGACGTGCACCGCTGCAAAACTTCTGGGGTGTGTCGAGTTATTATGTTGGTGTAATGTATTTCTACTTGATTTCGCGTACGCTCGACGACGCAGTCTGTGCACTGTGGGGATTCGCACGTGTCACCACTCAAGGTCGGCGTGACATCTTCAATGTATGTGCATACATGTAGTTGTCCTCATGTGTATGTGACGAGAAATAGATCGGCGAGGTGACTGGGGTGCTTCGGATGTGCACGTGAATAACTCAGGCTCTGAAGGGTGTTAGTCTGTCTTTTCGAACAACACCTCTCACGCATGTGATCGATCTATGCTTGTTCGACGTCAGTGATTATAACAGTTGCCGTGCTTGCTGAATTATGTGCGTGGCTTGTTCAGTTTCGGTGGACACATCATCGTGTAAATTTTTGTTTTGTTTGTATGTATTGTGGTATGTTCTGCATCTTGACCTAATACTTTATTTCTATATGGCAATTCGTGTAGTTTGATGCTAAGGTTGCAGATACCTGGAAGCTCGAAACGAGTTCGTGACTTTCTGCCGAGCTGCAGAATACTCTGAAGTTTGAAGAGGAATTATGCAAATGTAGCTGCATGTGCATGTAAATAATTGCCCTATAAGTACCACATTGCGTACATGACTATCGCTCTGACTACAGCTTGTTCCGATCTGCTCTGCCCTAAACAGGTATCCGGATGCTACACCAGAAGAGCTTGCGGCTATGGATAGCACATGTATTATCTGCCGAGAGGATATGGAAGCTGGCTCAAAAAAGTAAGTACAATATAGCAACTTGTAACTCTGTTGTTCGCTAGCGCTTTAGCTGCAAATGTAGCAACTTGCAACATAGCTGCATCATTCGCATGTAATGATATTCAGTGGTAAGATTATCTTCATCAGCTGTGCTTCTTTGATATGTGATGAGAAGCAAATCAGCGACTCCGCGTATGAACGGGTTCTGTATGGTTGTCATCGGAACATTTGTGATATGAAATGCATATGCTCTACGGTTATCGGAACGCAATATATTGTTCATAAGACTGATTTCTTCGCTTCTCCCCTGTATCCTGCCGAATTTGCCTGTCAGATTGCCTTGTGGACACATCTTTCATCTGACCTGTTTGCGATCATGGCTGGAGCGACAACGCACATGCCCCACCTGTAGAAGGCCTGTTCTCGAATGTAAGTTTTCTACAAAGAACACATTTGCAAACCTTCGGCTCTGGGCGAGGTCCAGGCCAGGTGAAAGTGTTTCGAGATAGGATCATGGTAACCCAGTCGGTTTGTGATTTTGATCGGTATATAAATGTAGCAATTTGTTGTATTGATACAGGTTGTTTGCTTGTGACGTGCAGCTATTCGGTCAAACGAATCAAATCAGGGATATACGTTTTGATCGAAATGTCTCTGGGCTTTATTGTTAAGCACTATATTTTAGCTTTAGGCGCTTAAAATCGATATGCATACTACTAGTTACATATCAGGTAGAGGTACCATCTGCATTTCGTTAAGAATATGGGTGAAGGTATTGATCTACTAGAATTTCCAGCATGTATATCTTACATATTGTTATACGGCAACACACCAATATGCAGCACAATATGCCGCGGCCGCACGACTGGCGCAACGCAACCAGCCAGAAGCAAATAACGCACAACAGCCAGCCGCTCAGAATCAAGCACAAGAACAAGCCCAGGCCCAAACTCAGGCCCAGACCCAGACCCAGACCCAGACCCAGCCACAAAACACGGCTAGATCCGATGCGTCCTCGGTTGCCAACGCGCCATCAGACGTGCAGTCACATGTTCCGGGGAAACCTGGTCCTCAGTCTGTGGCTCCGCACGTTGCGCCAGTAGCGCGCGCCCACTACACGGCACCGGCAAACAGTTCTGCCGCCGCGCATACACATATGCATACCAAAACGTCCGCATACACACCATCGCAACCGATAGCTGGCCAGTCTTCTCTGTTGCCTGGCGAAAGGCCTGTTCCTACGGCCTCGCTTCAGAGCGGTGAGTCTTGTGTGCGGCATTTCCTGTGAATTCACCAAGTACTTGCACGCTACGTCTCGGTTTCTCTAGATCTTCGATTTTCCAAACCTGTCTGGATGTGTATTATCGTACTTCGGTTCTCGCTTTCATTATTTCGCTCAAAACTATATGAAACACGTTCAGTTGATAATGATAGCTCAAGCTTCAAGCTGATCTGGTTGTTCATATTAGTCGAAATAGTTGCACGCTGCCTGTAGCATACTTGTTTGTCCAAGCTTCTCACTTGTACCTTCTTGCCGCTTCAAAACTTACAACAACTAATCACTGGTCCTACAAATCCTATGAGGGCAGCTGGTGGTCTCCCAACCCAACCCCTGCACTCTACGGGCCCGAGCAGTCAGGAAGGAGTTATCGGTAGGTGTGCTTGTGTTTGCGAGACGGTGCTGCTTGTCATCAGCTCTCACTGAAATGTGCAACGCATATATACTGGATACGATATAGCCGCAGCTTGTTTAGACCCGCCGCGGTGGGCACAACACTCTGATTTCTAGGTTGCTCTTTTGAACACGGGTCTATTGTTTGACATCCTTGCTGTATCTGCCTTCTGCTGACTGACGTTTACCTGCAACTTCCTCCACAGGCGATACTTATCTGCCGAAAGGACCATTCACAGACGAACAGTACCAACAAGAGCGACAGAGAATGATCAATCGCTTGGCCATGCTACAAAAGATGCACAGCGGCCTCGACCAGATACTGTTGAATATGACGGCGTACAACACACACCCCTTCGCCCAACCAGCCTCCAGCACACCGTTTTTTACCCAAACGGAGTCCTGGAGTGCATCAGGCAGCACTGAACATGCCACAGCGAGCACTTCGCGTACAATGGCGAGTTCCGAAGGGCAGCCTGTGGGACACGGTGTAGCATCGGCCAGCCCAACAACCTCAGTCAAAACACCAACGTTCACCTCCACGCAGACGTCGACGCAATCACGGCCACAGTCATTACTACCGACACATGCGAGCCGGTCAGTGCCACGGGATGAGACACAGCCACTCAGGAGCACAGAAGCCTCGCTGGCTCCAGAATCCGTTCTGCAGGAAGACTTACCCGAACAGAGCTCCGGTGAAAAAAGCACGGCAGATGGAATAGGTGTAGATAAGAATGGTGGCAGCAGTGCTGCCAGTGACGGCGCACAAGAAAGCGAGGATGCTGTACAGAGTAGTGCCACTGCACAAAGGAGTGCATGGGCAGATGTGATGGCTAGCAGGCTTGGGCAAACAAGGAGAGATAACGAGACATCCAACGCGAGTATCGCAAACACGGAGACTGCGGGCTTGGATACAAGCACTGAACACGGTGTGGTTGTACCCAGGGAGGATGCTGAGAGCACGGCCGGAGTGCAAACAGGTCGTGCAGCAGACGGTGGAGCAACTAGCCCGGCAGCGAAACCAGCAGCGCCTAGCACCACCGCGTCACAGCGCTCGGGCGGTGAATCTGCAGGCGAGTTGAACGATGCCCATATAGACAGCACCACAAAAACGGTGAAAGGAGAAGCCGCGGCCTTGAACCCTGATTCTGGTATAGTGGACATATTGGATGGCCAGGGGAATGCGGCTGTAGCTGTTGGTGCGGGTGGGGATGCCAGCGATGCACACGGCACGTCACAAACAACCACAGCCCAGACAAGCACATCTAACCCATTCGTGGGGTTCAAGAAAACGGGCGGATCTGTGAGTGCGCAGGATGGTGGCATATCGTCAGATAGCGATTTCTGAGGTGGACGCTCGCATCGCCCTTACTAGAGGTCATTAGCTTACTTGACTGTATCAACTTTACATAAGGGTGTAAAGAGAAGGCACGACACTCGTTACGCATGATTGCTTTGTTTCTCATCACCTGAAGACAGGCTCTCCGGATGGGCGATTTGCTTCAACTACTCCCGCACTACTACAGAGGGTACGGTTTCAATCCGTGATGGATATGAATGCTCGTGTGGCTATGCTTTCTCTTTCCATTTGAGGGAGGATGTGCTGTCCGCGGAACACTGCGTGAGTCGAACTCCAGCTATGGATATTGAGCTGGCGAATGGTGCGCGAAGTACTCTGGCCAGCTAATAGTATTGGACTAAAAAGGAGAGTGTATACTATCCTCAGATCTACATGCGTTAAGCGAGCTATTGGTGTGCGCATTAGGGTAGTTGATTACCGTCGTAGTCATCGGACACCGTGTCATCTGTATTTTTAGCTCAAGACATCAGCGAACTTAAAAATATGCTCTCATGGGCGTTCGGCTCTTGCTATGACAGTCCTGCATACGAACCCGCGAGTATGTCAACGATCTCTCTAGTGATGTTGTTGCAGTGAGGAGCGAGGTTGCTTTACCAATGTGTCACCTTATGGCTCACATGGACGGTGCACCATGCCACCACGTGTTTGTTCTAGAGACACACAAGTGCGCTAGTTGTTCCAAGATCTCACTCGGAATACGCAAGTCTAAACTTGGATGGAGACTATTCATTTCTTGTACAATCACAGACAGGACTGCACGCGTAAGGGAGTCTTCTTGTCTCTAGAAACAGTGAGGTTTCTTAAAACCCCATTGATGCCTAGTGCATAGTAACAAATCTGTAAGTTGCAGGTGCATGGTGAATATGCAATGTCGCTACTAGCTGATTTTCCGCTTGGTATTCCTAGAGAATCTACTGCCATCGAAGCTGTAAGGGCAAAGTATTTCTTGATAACGTCCCGTATAACGGAAATCACACGAGTTACAAACACACCGGATCTTTTGTAGGACCCAGACCCAGTGCATAATTTATGAAATAAATGCGTGAAAAGGCAATTTGCTTAGTGCAGATGCGTTTCGATATTCGCGCCAGTGTATTCAGATACTTTAGAAACCTTCCACCGACGCACTCTTTCGTTCGCTCAGCATATGGCGCGTCTGAATTGACAACTGCTTCATAACCTCTCTCACTTCAGTAATTCAAACAACAGTTAGTTTTACTTCTGTTATACTTTTTCACTCTAGTTATCTTCTAGAGGTGAAGTGAGAGCTCAATACCACTCACCAACTTGCCAACATCAGAATATACCGCGCTGCGATAAAATTCTGGTGCTATTTATACTACTTACAATATTACATTAAGCTTAGAACAACCTGTTTATAGCCCAGATTTGCATCGTTCATTTCGAGAGTCGATACCGAGACTCACCGAGACTCCTCAATTCCGATTACGCACTACCCCAGTCTTCAAATCTTCCTCCGATAGGAACTCAAGTGACGAAACCAGAAGTCCCCACACAAAATTACACGGTTCATATGCACCGTGTACAGAATGCACAGCAGCGCGTATATCCATAAATACTCTGTCCTGATTCTATCTGCGCTGGTCTATACTGGTCCCACCCGGCCGCCAGCACATCACGTGAGAGCGTACGAGACACTGGGAAAACAACTATCGAACAGCACGTTGGTGAAACTTAGAGGCGATGCAGATTAGTTGTCTATAGAACCCAATCGCCCCCCACCCCACCCGCTGGACACGGAGTTCGTCTCCCTGCAATCCCGTGTACCTCCTGCCTCGCCAGACCATAACCACGCTACTTGCGCACAATGGAGCGTGTATGACGCGCTAATGACCACTGGGTGGTAAGCACCACAACCTACCCTCGAGTAACCATAACCAATAGTTTCGTAGTGGGAAAGTGATATGATATCATTAATCGATGAGCTATGCCAGTTATTTGCACTCGGACCGATCTTGTTGAAATAGAAGGCTTGTTAATTCGCGCCTTCGACGATAGCACAGCCTGCTAAGCGCACCCACGGTCTCGGTTTCTGACCGATTTGACCTGAAACTCATTATCTCGTCGACCTATCATCGATACCTATGCCTCAACTAGGAACCTCATTCTGCGCCTCCTTCAGTTTCTTGGCCTCTTCTCGCAGTCTCGCCTTCTCTTTCTGTTTCTTTTCCATATCCATGAATGCTTTGATGGCTGGATCTATCTTCGAAACATCCTTCCCCTCGGCCTCGGCCTTAGTAGCCTCCTCGTACAGGTCGTCGAGAACGCAATGGGCACATCCACTCATACAGCACATGTCGCGCGGATCAAAATCCTGCCCAACCATTTGGAGAGAGTGTACGTTGGTTCATATTAGGTTCAGATTATTTGGTGTGTAGCAATTTCGGTTGCATGGATATATAAAGCATCAGATGGTGCGTGAACGATGACGACTACCATAAGATCCGGCAACGAAACACGATATATGGGCGTGTGGTATGACCACCGACCAGCTGAAAGAGCTCTCGGGTATGCATTTTACGTGAAGTTAATGCGTACATCGACAGAGCACGGCACTCCATATTGAATTCACACTTGTGTCACGCACATAATGGCTTGCGTATGATGGATTGTTCTCTTGCTATGCAATGTCAGCAGGAATAAATGTGGATCGCAATGTCCAGATTGACAAAACCACTCTAAACGTACAACAAACCTACAACACTGTTATACCGGAAAGTAGTGAGTTAGATATACGAAAACGTTCCGTATTGTAAACATGTGACTGGATGAAGGCATCGTTGGAGAGTGCAGAACCAGCTAAGTGACGGCGACATGCACGCACAGCTGCATACACGAACAATCAACAGTAAGCGCTAAAACCTACTGTCACTTCAATAATAACACA